GAGCCCGATGCGGGACTCGATCCCGGGACTCCAGGATCATGACCTGAGCCGAAGGCAGTCGCTTAACCAACTGAGCCACCCAGGCGCCCAATACTCCACATTTTCTAGTCTCTGCCTTTTTCTGGTGTTGGTGAACTGACACTGTCACCCACACTACAGGCCTGCATTTGAAACCCAGCAAAACCATATATTAGCTCTATGATGTTTGGAACTTATATAAGAGCTGAGCCTCCATTTTTTATCTATGGAATGGAGACAAAGCAAAACTCAGAGTGCTGTTAAGAGGACCAAGCAGGGTCACAGATTCAAAGACTGGGCAGGAAATGTGAAGGACCAGGCAAGTAGCTAATAGAACCCCCCAAGGGTATGGCAATAGGAGTGACGAGGAGAGTCCATTCCCTTGACGAGGAGAAGTCTCTACTGGGCTCCTGCAGATTGGAAACCTGCCTGCAGCAACATGGGCCAAATAATCTCACCAGACCTTTCCACTGTTCTAGAAGAGCAGCAATCTGGCTTTCTAATGTGAAATTTCCCAATGATTCAATGTGGTAAGTAATTCCAATTTCTTTGCCATTTTTTTTAATTCTTTTTTTTTTTTTTTAAGATTTTGTTTATTTATTTGACAGAGAGAGACACAGCGAGAGAGGGAACACAAGCGGGGAGAGTGGGAGAAGGAGAAGCAGGCTTCCCACCGGGCAGGGAGCCCTATGCGGGGCTCGATCCCAGGACCCTGGGATCATGACCTGAGCCGAAAGCAGACGCTTAACTGAATGAGCCACCCAGGCGCCCCACTAATTCCAATTTCTTTAAAACACCAGACACACCTTATCTGCAGGCTGGGTACACCTGTCAACAGTCTCTGATCTGAAGTAATTAGCATAATGCCCAGCACGAGATGGGCACTTGATAAATTAGGAATTCACCAGATCTAACACCTTAGACATCAGACTCTTGGAGGAAAGGACCTATCTGACTGGGTAACCTAGAGACCAGGAAAGATCAGGCCCAGAGTAACCAGAACATCAACTGCGGGCCCAGGAAATGAGCAGAAATCGAGCGGGACAAAGCAGAGAACAGGCTGGAGTGGCTCATGCCTGCTCAGTCTGCCTGCTCCGACTCCTCCTTGGCTGATGGTCCCCTCTCTCTCCTGCAACCACAGCTCTGAGCCCTGGGCAGACATACTGGTGTGGGAGGGGAGCAGGCTAGATCCTGCAGCTGCTGGAGTCAGCCAGGCTTATTAGGAAAAGAACGAAAAAAGCTTTGAGCTCTGAGCCAAGGAGGCAACTTCCTCCCTGTCCCTATTCCCTTTGGCTTTTCCCCATCAGCAACTCAGAACGTAGCCAAATACATCCTACTCGGGTGGGCTGCCACTGTCCCACACATGTTACAAATAAGGGCCAGCAGAGCTGTCCCTATTTTTAGCATTTGAATGTGACTGCCAAGATCACCAAGATTCCCCATTTGCTGGCTCAATTCCTCTCCCTCTCCTCCACATATCTCTTATTTTCCTCCCAAATAGACGTTTTCTGTTCGGATGAGTTAAAGTAGATATCTGGGGGAACAGGGACCCCAAATATTTGCTTGTCTTGCTAAACTTTTTATAATCACCACAGACTGGGTGATATCTCTTTCCCGTGGCAAGAGAAATTGTGTACAGCCTTTGAGAAATAGCACTCCAGGGTTGGATCAAAGCCACTCCCTTTTCTCTCTTGAGCATAAAGAGAGGCTTAGAGCAGAAAACTACAGTAAGGATCCTCTTGTGGAAACTTCCAAGTACACAGTTGAGGGCACCGAGGTCCAGGGGGGCTGATGTGCTTACTACCACCTAACATTAATAACAAATATTATGATACCTTATATTCATGAAGGATTTCCTGTACTAAGCACTTCACATGGATTTCCAGCTCAGTGAGATATCTATTTCAATTATTCCCATTTTACAGAGGACAAAACTGAGGTTTCTTGGTTTGCGAAACTTGCCCAAAGTCCCATACACTAGCAATGGTAGACCCAGGGAAGACACTTGGGATCCAATTCTTCAACTCTTCCCAGAACCAAAGCTCAGTGCACAGATTAGTCATGAGGATAAAAGGAAGAAGAATGGAAGAAGAGAAGGAGGGAGGCCGGCCAGGGCTTGAACAAGCATATTATCTCAGCGGGGCCCTTTCAGGCTTTTCTCTGGAAACTGCTGAGTGTTTTGAGAACACAAGCATGGCCCTCACAACCTCAGCGGCCACCACCTGGCTGAGATCCAGAGGTCTCTGGGTCCCTTTACCTGTTCTCAGGGTCAGCAGAGGCCAGACTCCGGGTGACATAGCACATCTTGAGGGGGATGTTCTTCCGATCTCTGTGGAAGGAGCACGGCTGTGATGACAGGGCATCTGAGGACCCGGCCCCTAACCGAGGGGATTCGGGCGGAGGTGTTTCCCAGCCGATCTCTGATACTGGGGAGCCCTTCTTCACATAGGGTGTGGCTTCTCGCATGTACTTCACTGCAAGGAAAAAGACAACAACAGTGCTTTTAAGTACATCACGGCTGAATTTCTGGAAAGTCTGATTGTGTTTTCGAAACTTGCATTAGATGAGCTCTTAATACCGATGCTCTTAAATTCTGAACAAGAGTCACAACTGCTGTTCCTCTCAAAACAGTTTTTCTGTTATTTAAATTCTATACCAAAGTGGTATTTAGAACTTGCTATTACAATGACCTGAACTTGAGAATCACTTTAAACTTTTTTCCACAATGACAACTTTTATCTTTTCTGATTTTAAGTTGCATTCTGGAGAAGGGGCTGAAAGACAAATGGGCAGAGAAGGAGAAAGCATAACTTAGGCTTAAAGGCACATAATTGTTCGATACAGAAGCAGGGAATCTGGTAGCCATATTCTCTAACTATGTCCTTATTCAGAAGCAAGAAGAACAGGCTTTTCAAGTTAATAGTGCTAAGAAAACATATATGCAAAAAAAAAAAAAAAACAAAAAAAACCTCAAAAAAAAACAACCAACCCTCACATAAAAGGATACTTATTTTGCAATGGAAAAAATTTGTATGAGCAAAAATATCTTCTGTAAGAGCTGAAAACTAGGACCAACCTAAATATCCATCAGAAAAATAATAAATTATAAGACATCTATACAGTCATTTTTAAAAATGAGATAGATACAGATGTGTTGATGTAGAAAGACCTACAAGATCTATTATTAGTTTTAAAAATGGTAGAGAGAAGTGCATATACTGTAATCTTTTGTATCTAAATCATAAATACATAGCCTTGCATATATACAATTATTTCTGGATAGGAACATAAGAAAATGTTAACAGCAGTTAGCTCTGGGGATGGAAATAAAAGTCAAGCTGTATTACCCTTTTTTTTTTTTTTAAAGATTTTATTTATTTATTTGACAGTGAGAGACATAGTGAGAGAGGGAACACAAGCAGG